TATACATTTGTAAATTGGTTATTTAAGACATTTTTTAGCGCCAGTAAATTGAATTGCTTTGTTCTCTCTCATTCTTTCATGCCAATCATTTCAACGGTGCGGTAGAACATAAACAATGGTTTGACTACAGGTGGATTTTTCTCGCCTCGCAATTTGTGCTCGTTTTTGCGCTTCATGCACACTTGTGTATTGCGCTAGAGCCCACTAATCTGCCTGTACTACAGGCTACTATTAAGTGGCCAGTGACCTCCTTTTATCCCGAGGGTGCACTTACCTCATTAGTCATATTACAACCTCATTGTGGATTATCTTTTACAGTGAACTCTATCTAAGTTGGACACCCAAGAGAGTGGCTGGCCATCCGGTTAGAGAATGTCCTATCCATTTCCAAGAAGCAAGTTTAATAGGCCATTTCCAAGTGGCTATATTATCTCTTTTTTAAAATGAGTCCTGGTGTGGAAATAAGACGATAGTAAAACCAATTGTGGTATGAAAGGTTCTGCACCAAGACTTGTTTTAAACCAGAGCAAAGGGCAACTTGGAAATACTATAGGATCAGTGATCTTTATGGAGGTTTCTGCCTTAATTTAACACTGTCTGCTTTTAAATGGTAGACTCTACTAATAAATTTTCACTTAACAGGACATCTCACATGAAGCTAAATTTTCATATGATTTCACAGCTCCCACTTTATAACATCTGATGTTAATATCCTGGAAATTGCTCAAGCAGCAGAGTTCTTTCACTCTGATGGAGTGGTTTTAACAGGAAAAGCAACTGGGGAAGTCACGAGTTTAAAAGAAATGCAGTTTGTGAAAGAAGCAGTGAACATTCCAGTCTTGATTGGCTCAGGGGTGAATGACTGTAACATGGAACAGTACCTTGGTGCAAATGCTATGATTGTCGGATCGTACTTTAAGGACGAGGGGCATTGGTCAAACCCAGTTAATTTTGAAAAAGTGCATAGCTTCATGGCTAAGATTGAAAGAATGAGAAGATAGCTAAAGTGAGAGTGTATCACCAAACTAGAATGTCATTTAAGTCTCTTTTGTAATACATAGAGTTCTACCCAGTAAATGTTGTTGAATGAGCTATATGACCCCTACCCTGTTGAAATCATGTGGCTTTAGGACCACTGTAATTATCATGGTTTACTAAAAAGCCCTTTCAACAATGGTTATTTTAAAATATTTATTAGTGATAAATTTTAATATAATAAAACTCTATGTTAGAGTAAGTGCAAATGTCCCTGAAACATTTGTGCCGGTGGCATAGTGTGAACAAGTTGAATTAAGGACACCATACCATAATTATGTTGAATTAAAATATTATAACTTGTGTTTTTAAATGAATTTTATCTTCGAGCGTTCAGCTCAACATCTCATGAGTGATCGCAGGGAATGAATGAGATATTGAGTTGAACATGAGAAGATAGGATGCGTATCCACAAGCAGGCGTGTAATATTCTGTTTATTATATAAACATACTAATGACGATGTTTTTGATGATTTTCTGAAGATTTCCGATCACTTTCCGAAGATTTCCGAAGATTTTCCAAAATTATTGCGAAGGCCAGACGGATGCTTCCAAACATTTTGCAAACATTTTTCGAAGATTACTGAAGATTGCCGAAGATGACTGAAGAAGATCTGAAGATGTTTCGATCATACATCAACAAATATAACAAGAGAAAAATGTTATCAAAAAGGAATGATATCTTCACAGTGTGAAAGATAAAAATAGTATCTTCACTGCGTGCGATGAAGATATGATTTTTTAGTAAAAGGAAAATCCTGGTATTTCACTGGTGTTTATATAATAAAATGCAACATCAAATCATTTCAATAAGTACATTTTTATGTACTTTGTTATAACTATGCAAGAATGATGTACAATGCAATAATGAAAGTTGTTTTATTTATTTTTTCATTTAAATCTGCAGCATAAGATTTGAGTAGATGTGATCCAATTTTGATTTGTGGAAATTAAATTAGTTTGCTATCTTGATTGCCAAATCCTGTGTCAAGATGGACCTTTATTGCAATAGTCGGTTGTCATTATTTATTTATGTTAAATGAATTAATGTAAATTTTCAAAATAAATTTTCTTACAGATCTATAGCATACATTTCAATACAAACTAAATTAATCTGCAGGTGCAAAATTCTACACAGTAATGTCATGCATTATATACACTCTTTTCATAGAAAAATAACTCCTGACCAGCAAGTTTCTTTTCATTGAAACAGTGACTTGGGGGCTGACAAAATGATGATCAATGACATTACGTGTTAAAATTCTGACAGTGAGGTGAGGACCTTCCTAAATTGCAACAAGGTAGAGAGTCTGAAATTCAGGCAGGATATACCCCCTCCCTTCCCAACAGGCCTCATGATCAAGAGAGGGTAACCACATAGCAGATTTTGGACCTCCAATATCTTAGTTAGCTTCAGTTAGAATTCATTAAATTGTAGAAACTAATAATAAGAAAATGCTAGAAAAGGAAAAATTAATGTTTGTTGAACATATAAGAAGAATCAAGATTACAATAATCAGTTCACCTGCCATTATGATAATAGTTTTACTGTCACTAAGATGTGTAGTATTGTACTGATGAATTTTAAAATATACATTCTGGTGGGAGCTTTGGCAGTGAAAATACTTTCAAGTTCTTAATATTATGGTTTTGTGGGTGTAGTCCCTGTGGCTTTAGTGGGTTATAGGTATTAGTTATATCTATTGTTTACTTAGCAGAGTTAAATTGTTATGGAATAAATTTGTGGAAAAATTGAATTTCTTTTAGTTCTAACTAGTTATAACTTGTTCAATAACATTAAACTTGAAACCAGTAACTGTTGGTCATTTGATTGACTTCTGTCAGGTCACACAAAAGTGAGTTATTATTCTGGTATCAGCTTTGTGATACCCCAAGTTTATGGGATTCATTGACTAAAATGAAAAATATCCTAAATAACAATATCTCTTCCAATATTTTCATCAACAAATTGAGGAAATTTGAAAATGAAAAAATTGAGGGGCTGAATTTTTTTTTATTTGATCTGGTGCAGCTGCAGTAGAAAGCAAAGTGATATTTGTTTCCTGTGAAAAATTACAACATGCCATCCTCAACTTATTCCACGTTGCTGGTGGAGAATTGACCCATATTTTGTGTATGTGCAAAAATAATGTTGCATGATAGTTGCAGAATTCTCTTCACATTTCAGAATGCTTTGATTTGTTTGTAGTTTAATTAATGGTTGTGCATAAATTTTCTTCCAATCAAAACATAGCAAGGCCTCTCAAGCAAATTATCATTTGAAACAAATTTTGACCATCAGCCAAATTTGTCATTCCAACTGTGAACTTAACTAACTTAGTTACCAGCAATAACAATAATGAAATTGAACCTAATCCAAACGTTTTGAAAATGGCACCTTTTTGTACATGAAGTACTTGGAAGTCTTAACTGAAAAAAAATACAGGCAATTATTTTCCTCAGTCATCTTGCATATTGATTAAAATATTATGTATACTAATCAATATTCTTTTCAAACGTATGCAAGCACAAGAAGGCTCTGCTAAAATGTCCTTTATTCAAATCTCATGGTTACACTCAAGGCTCTGCTCAATCAGATTTGATGTATGAGTGGAAGTGAAATTAAATTTCTTTCTTTCATATTTTAAAAATTATTTTGTACTTTTTTTGTCCTTTTCTGGAATTGGAAAAATAATATAATGACAACAATAGATTCTAAACAATCTTATGCTATACGTAATAAAAGTGCATAAATTATATAGCTGGAAGAGCTATCTCCACAAGCTATTTGACAATTTTGAACCCTGATTTTCGTTTCAAGGATCAAGTTATTTTAAAATCCTTCTTACAATAAGGATTACTATACACTAGGGAAAAGAAGGAAACTCCACAGGAAAGCAAGCCAGACCCTCCGCAAGAATATAAATAACACAGTTTTAAATATTTACAGTGGACTTAGACCCTACGCGATACGCCTAATCCCTCGGCGTCTTCGAATCTTATAATTTTGCAGTGAGGGTCAACAGCCTCTTTTACCGTGCAGTCCAACATGTTTCCCTAGCATCCTATTTCGCTTTTTATTTCGCTTGCTCCTAGAATTGTTTTGAAAATGAACCATGTTCTGTTTTTTCAAGTTCTTTCTGTTCGAGCGAATGCTGCTTTGAAGCGGCGGTTCCGTTTGCCTTCTCTTCTCAATTAAATCGAGCTGCTCTTGAAACTGTACCGTTCGGCGAGGTTCTCTCCTTTCTACCTGCTCTCCTTCGTTCCTTGGCGTGCTAGAACTCCTGGATGCAGATGAAATTGAAGAGGAATCTCGCCTCACACCTGGCCCGTACACAGACATACTAGGATGCTCGATGAGTAAATCTTCCATCGGGCTAGCTTCCAAAACTTCGGGGGAAAGCCCGCTCGCTTCGAAGCAAGGTGGTGGAGTAACATACCAGCTTTCTTCCAACTGCACTTGAGCCTTTAACTTGGAAACCTCGTTTTCTTTTCCAGCTGTAATACAAAACGATCAGTAATTTGAGCTCAACGCAATTTTCAGCGCAAACGATGAAATATGATGTAACGGTGGCGCAACCCAGTTTGCATAATGCCGTGACGAGAGTGAACGCGTTCAAAACAATTACCTGCTAAGAAGAAACTTGCTAAAATGGTACATTCACGAAACTAATCGGTGAAAAATAAATTTAAAAATGTACCCACTTTCGCTTTGAAGAACATGTCTGCGAGTTCAAGTGAAAATTCCTCAACAAAACACTTACCGAGTACTTTACTTTCGTGAACATCGACCAAAATCCAGTCCTCATCGCTTTGGGTGTCGTCTACAGTACAACCCGGCACAATTTGTTCGTCTGCATCACCCCAGATGTAGCTCGAAATCGTCGTCCACATTTTTAGAAATTCCCTTTAACCAGCGATTTCACCAACTTATAGCAGTAATTCCAAATTCACTGTGTCAAGAAACAAGCGGAAAAGCGTTGTTACGTAAAACCGATTTCAGTATACGTACCGGGAACAAGACGAACACAGCTGAAATACGAATTGTCGTCAAACGAAAACGTTTCAGATATAACAACTTCAATATTTAGCCGTGAAAAACAACAACAACCTTACCTTTTGGTGTCAGTTTAAGTCAAGTTTCGAAGAGTCCGCCAAAATTCGTTTGGGTTCGAAAAAGATCTTCGGCTGAGGCAAATGCAAATTTTCTGTATTATAAACACCGGCAAAGAGTCTGGTATTTCCCTCCAAAATTCACTTGGCTGTGATAATGTTTATACGCTTATTTCGTTAAAAAGGGTGATGCAAAAGAGTCTCGCTACGAAGAGATGCTTGGAGGCTTTGAAAATTACGACCGAACAGACGCCGTTGGCAGAAATGCAAAGCTTGTCAGAAAAATAACGATTGGGAAAACTCAATGTTTTTGTTGACATTCTGTCAGGGCTGGTGACGTTACCAATCAAATTGACTTCTGTTTGCCATATATGGAAGACCACGCCATAGTGACAAGATATGCACGTGACCTTCTCGTGCAGCCGGCTCGTGCTATGCAATGGAGTATACTAGGACCGGACACGGGCCAGCGCTTCGCTCGAGAGAGCCCTCGGCCAAATATATTATTATATCGGGAGAAGAAAGCGAAAGCGTTCGATTTTTGACAAGTTCCATTGGAACTCTCAGATTCTAATAATGGGTGAAGTAGTGCAATATGTTTTCCAAGCGGAAAATGAAACATCCATTCCCGGCCCCGGGTTGTATTCCAAAATATTTCCTCGCATTCCAAGGCCCTTCCAAAGGTAATCAAGGATCCCCGGCAAGGATCAAAGTATAAAATCACCCAATCGGAACGTTGATTGCATATTTTCCTCTTATCTTCGCGCGGGCGGATTTTATTTATTTATTTATTTATTTATTTATTTATTTATTTATTTATTTATTTATTTGCCAAATTCAAAATTAATTCAATGGACAAAATGGAATGGTGAAAACAAGAAGTACTCCTCAAAAAAGGACGATTCTTTTTTCTTAGTGATTATTAATATCAAATAATTAAATCAAATTTTTTATAATATTGTAGCTTCGGACACTGAAAAAGTTGAAGTACTGAGCAATAACGAGTTACAACTGATCACAGGGAGCGCACAATCTTGTTGTGAGGAATGAAAAGAACGAAATAGTTTACCTTTGTCTCCGGCCAGTTGTCATCTCGTACGCGACATTACAGGGGAAACCTCTACCTACATGAGCCCCCGGGGGGGGGGACTCCCATATAAAATGGACGGGGATGCTCGTCGGAAATTTTGAATTTAACCCCTAAAAGAGACCAATCTGGGCGTGGCCGAAGCTTATACAGACCCCTAAAAGAGACCAGTTTATGATACAGGGGTGTAAATTTCGGAATTAAAGAGTGAACTCTCGAAACTTGGTATTAGGACAAGAATCGTATAGCAAGCAAAGCATGTGGATATTTTTAGCAGTGATCAAATAACCGTTCTGTGTAAGCCGCCGAGTTTCGTATTACACTCTTGTAAAACAATAGACAAAGACATTTTGTTACAGTGTACTTTATTGTTTATATGAACCGAGTAAATATAAAGAATCAAAATTCTTTCTTTTTTGTTATTTCTTCGCGTGCAACCCTAAACGAGACCTTGACGGCTAAAAATAATAAAATTTTGCCCAGAACACCTTAAGCGAGACCAAAATCCGAAATTTACACCCCTAAGCGAGACGACGAGCATCCCCGTCCATTTCATATCGGAGTCCCCCCCCCGGGCATGAGCCCACCTACCACAAAACACTGTAGCGCTAAAACCAGAAAATTTTTGCATAGCGCGAAAAGGCCTAGGTACGAATTTTGCAGGACATGTAGGTAGCGGGTCGCGTAAGAGATGACAATTGGAGGCAAAGGTAAACTATTTCATTTTTTTCATTCCTTACAACAAGATTGTGCGCTCCCTGTGAACGGATCAGGAACAGAAGCAGGAGCCTGATGGGTTCAGAAGCAGAACCAACAAGCTAAGGCTACGCCTAGAGTCATTGCGGACTTTTGCGGTATGCGGCCATATATGTCATGTGGATAAGGACAAAGGAGACTCGAAGGAGGCGGATATCGGATATGATGACTTTGTAACAACACCAGATGCGAAACATTGGCATGACGCTTAGTTTGATCGCGTTGAATTACGTACAATGACTTGAATCAACAAAATCGATTTCCCCCGCAATTGCACTATATACCGTGATGAATTTAGCCGAGATGATGTCAAATAAAACTCCTCTATCAGCTCCCTGCGGTGAAAATGAACAACCGGTACTGTGAGAGAACCTTGTCACTCACCTGTTTCTGTCTTTCTTTCCTTCTTCGTTTTTTTTTTTTGGTTTTGTTTTGTTTTGTTTTTTTTTTGCACCATTCTAGGCGAGAGTCTATTCACAGTCTGCGGTTCGGTCCATGCAGTTTCAAAACAAAAAGGGAACTCAACCTGGTTTCCCCAATACGGACCTCACACTTGTTCAGTAACACACCTGATGACAAGAAGAAGCTAATTAGCTACCCGAGTTAGCTTGCCCGCTCTTTACCTGCTGTTTCTCGGAAGAAAATGATGTTCTTTAAATATATGTCGGTCACTGGTGGCAAAAGTGGCAGATCCAGACCTTGAGCTAAGCGGGGGGAGGAGGGAGGGCGTTTTTTTGCTTGCCCTACTGGCTTTTCTTCCTTCTGCGATTTTTTTGTTTTTTTACCCAAAATAGGGGTGGGCGAGATCTGCCACTGCAAATGTTGGTCTCGTTTTATTGTCTGTTTATAGACCGAGACGAAGGCGAGGTCCACAGACACACAGAAAAAGAACTTGGCCAAAATCGAGCCATCTTTTAAAACAGAGCAAGCTTGGTCATATTTCTTTTCTAATTTGCCTCTAATTATGCAACCATCAACCGTGACCATCAACTATAACCATCTTTGATTTTAAAAAAATTCATGAAGCTATTTCCTATTTTACCTTATTAAGTTAGTTCTATGAATTGTTTCATGGTCTCTTGATTGTTTTCATTGGTACAAAATAGAAACATCAAGTATGCAGTGCTCAAACTCTCAGCCAATCACGTCAAGCTGAATCGACTTACCACAAAAACTTCCGTAACCACCTAAACTTGGAATGGGCTGTCTGTGTGCAATACACATCAACCTCGGTTGAAAGTCCTTGAAATTGAAACCGGTAGAGGTGCCGTGTCTTGAAATGGCGTGTAAGCAAGTTTTACACCATAAAAGGTTTATTCAATGGTTCTTTCAATGGTGAAGCCTTGTTGTTTGGAATGGCAATAAAAAGACATTTTTTAAAAAACTCTTGAAAGCAGCGGATGTATGCAGATAAACCTTCCCAAGATGCTTTGCTGTTACCAGTAGCTGCACGTAGCACTTGCGTCTGTGTTTGGCAATCGACTGGAAGTCGTAGTGTTGAAATATGCAGTCTTCAGTGGAATCTTCTGGCTATTTTGAGAATTTCAGTAGTGATTTGGACGATTACGATTTAGAGGAGGATGATTTCTTCTCGTCGAACATCTCTTTTAACGGGCGGCTAGTTATTTCAGGAGAACCAAGTGTTTGGCCAGTGCTGGGAACTGGAGGTAAATACAAAACTACAGGATTACTTATGATCTGAGCTTATATTGGCGTTGGACGTGTATTCACTAAGTTAATATTTCTAAAAGCGTAATCTCTGTGTAGAAAGCTTTCATCTAATTCAGTGTCGGTGTATGTATCTAGCCACATGTCATACAACTAACTACTACAAGTTGTACACCGAAGCGGAAACTTTGGCAAGTTATTTTTTTCCTGTTCTTCCCATATTTTTAAGCGTTCTTCAGAAATTAAATTGATCCGGAAACGTGGGCTCTGGGATCACAGAAATGCTTTCTTGAATTTGGTAGAATCATTTTTTGTGGTGTTGCCAAAAAATTTGATTATGGCAATGTTCTCGACAGCAATCGTAATGAAGGAGGTGTAGTCACGCTAATTAAGAATTGAGAAGTCATTGATTCGTCATATTGAATCAAAGTGTCCCTTATAATCAACCGCATAGTTTAGAGTCTCATCTTCATGTTGAAAGAGGTGTACATCCTAATTAAGAATACGTACATTAGTGTGCAGTGGCAAGAGAAGCTTTCTGACCGGCGACATTTAACAATTATTGGACAAGGTTGAGCATAATATCATGATCCGTCAGTGGTGCACAGATCAATTACTCGCCTTCGGCTTTAGCAAATAGTTGATCTGCGAGACACTGACAAATCACGATATTTTGGTATAACCAAGTTCAATAATTCTTTTATCATTTGATTATCTAGAAGCTTGTTTTCATATTTAATCACTCTCTGACAGTTCGAGGAAGTGATCTGCCATTTTTCACAAAAGAGCGTGCTTACAATTGCACATGAACAGAATATTGTTTGCAGCAAAACAAATTTGGATGGACAAGTATTCAGTCATGTGTAGACCATTATTTGTAGGCAGTTATTTGCAGGTCACTTGGAGGGCTATTGGCCAATGAAAAGGGAAAAATGCAGATTTCAGATTTCAGATACAGTGGAACCCTGTTAATATGGACACCAAAGGGACATGATAAAGTGTCCGCATTATCCGGGTGTCCGTATCAAGCAGGCTAATTTAAGAGAAAATATATGAGCTCTTTAGTTGTCTGGACAAAGAAAACTGTCCATTAGAAGCAGGTGTCCGTATTAAGCGGGTGTCGGTAGAGCAGGGTTTCATTGTATTAGTTTTGTTGTTTTTTTGCACTTTTTACATATTGTTAACAATCAATCTATAAATATTACATAATAACAACTCAGAAATAAAAATTACAATAAATAGAAAGTGAAAATGTGTGCAGTGACCAAAGTAGCAAGGGCTTTCAGGTTGGTCACTACCACGTTTTGTTAACTGGCATAGTCAATAAGCTCATATAAGTACATAAATAAAAAAAACAAAAAAAAAAACAAAGTGCAAAGTGTATTATGTAAATTACTTATTATAATCCAGGTGATGATATCTATAGAAGGTATGACTACTATATTATATTGGTTAATATAATATTATATTATATTGGTATTACATTAACGCTCTGGTTCTACTATTGAACACTCTATCAGCAGGCGTGCAAATCGAATGGTAAATTACTTATTAGATATATAAAAATTTATATGTAAAAAACAATAGGGCATGTAAGAGGTACTTGTCAAAGGATGATAATGTTTAGACAGCAACTTTGAAGCCAATGAAATGATGATGAATAACAACACTTGTGTCAAAATTGTTACACTTATGGTGCAGTTTAAATTTTTCAAACCAGTTTGGTTTTTATTGTCTTTTGTTTCAGATAATGATTCTGTAACGAATACGAGATAATGAAAAAATTATAAAAATCAACCTGGTTTGAACATTTTGAACCAAAGATAATTTTAGCTGCAGGCGTACACCTAGTTGTGTCTAGTGATTGAAATTGGAGATGCCAGCGTTATGAGCCACTAGTCTTCAATGCAATCACCACATTGCCTTTAGCTTACTTCAAATATTTATTTAAATGTAGGAAGAAACTTTCTGATTGTAGTCACTATTTTTTGTCTGGTTTCAGGGAGAGGCACTGTATTCTTGCCAGAGGATACCAGCAGTGATTGTGAAGATGAGGATCAAACAGATAGTATTTGTAGAGGCCATGGGATATCTGTTGGTGCTGACCCACGGAATATCAAGTTTGAAGTCTTCTCAACTAGGATACGTGAAGGGAAACGCAAACAATCTGTGGTGAGTCCTGGGCTAACCTTAGACCAATACAAATATTCATAGCTGGTAGATTATGACTTTTGTTGTGTTTTCAGCTTCTAACAAACATAAGAGTCAACTGTAACACTGTTCACCAATTAAGCTTGCTCATGAATTCCCCTAGAAATGAACAGATGTAAGTTTCAATCTTTTTATGAACCTGTTACTGAACGAGTTTGAGGGCCATACTGGGGAATGTTGGCCTGACGTCATGGTGGTACGGACCAAGCATAGTGAGGTCCATCCAAAAATGACCATGGCCACAATTCTATGTAGAACAGCTCGATTAAGCTAGATTAGTATACTAAGTATGCTAGTTTATTACATGGCACTTGAATTTGAATTTCCCAGCTTTCAAAGACAATTCATACATGACTTATGACCATTTCCATGGAGACAGTCCATGTGGGAAAATCCTGACCAAGAAAGAACCAATTGATATGCTCAGATTTACCTGAGACTACCTTGCCATATAATAGTACTTTATATAAAGGATAAAGCCTAACATTATTCATTGTTTTGAATTGTAGTTTTGGGTCTTGCATGCGTAATGGCCAACTTGCTTAAGAGGCCCTGCGCCTAAGAAACGACTGATGATTTCCGGCTAAAAAATAAAATCGGCCGATTTTTATCTCCCAAGCAGAGGTTACCGAATACTATTTAAAAATGAATTTCTTTTGTTTCAGTTTCGCTTTAAACCAAAAATATCGAGCCACAAACTTTTTCCGTCTGATGGCAGCAAAATCAGGCTGAAAATAAGCCCCCGCAAAAAACTGTTCAGAAATTACTATCGCAACGCAAAATAATGAGANAAAGGCCTTTTAATGCAATATCATTCGATAAACATCAAAAAACTGCCGAAGCGATTAAAAAATAAAGTTTCAAATATTGCATACTAAATTAGATGGAGCATTGGAGCTGATTTTGAAATAATTATTTCTCAAAAGTTCAACGCTTTTGAAAGCAATCACAGTGATGAATCAGACATTGGAGGGATATACATCACGTTTCTGGAAAAACATTTTTCGGCCAAGGTATATTGACCTTATACAAAGCGTTCAAAGTTACCGTGTTTACCGTTATCCTGCTACTTCGGTGAAACACTTCTCTTTTGCCAATACGGCCGTGGATAGCATGGTAAACGCCACTTTAAACCTTGCTAGGCATTCAAAAACCATCCTAAGTAGAAGGACTTAGAATTAAAAGAGAAAGGAAGATGAAAAATACGCACGGAAAAAGAAAATAACTCGAAATTATCATCTGCTAACGAAAGTTGAATCTGGAAAATGTCGTCGCGTGACAGTGGCCAGGATGGTCTTTGAATGCCTAGCAAGGTTTAAAGTGGCGTTTACCACGCTATCCACGGCCGTATTGGCGAAAGAGAAGTGTTTCGCCGAAGTAGCAGGATAACGGTAAACACGGTAACTTTGAACGCTTTGTATAAGGTCAATATACTTTGGCCGAAAAATGTTCTTCCAGAAACGTGATGTATATCCCTCCAATGTCTGATTCATCACTGTGATTGCTTTCAAAAGCGTTGAACTTCTGAGAAATAATTATTTTAAAATCAGCTCCAACGTTCCATCTAATTTAGTATGCAATATTTGAAACTCTATTTTTTAATCGCT